TAAGGAATGGAAAGCTCAAAGGTTTCAGACCTTTGCAATCAAACAAGGGCAAAAGTTTGACTGCCTCACCCAGTACTTTCCTCTGAAACAAAAGCTACTGTGATGTGGAGCTGGACATAGTGGGGGATATATCTGAGCGTGGAGGAAAGAATATGTATGGTATGAATGCTGTGAAGTGTAACAGCTGAGAAAAGCAGTGGTAGGTAAGTGTTCTATGGGCACTGTTCTATTTGTTGCTGATATGCTAGTGGTTTGCTGTGTTATTCTCTTAATCTGATCTTTGCAAAAGTAGCTGAAATCAAGCTGTGTATCAGAGCGTGATACTGTCTGCTCTAAAGAGCATCAGATTCATAGCCTGAAGTCCTATCCCTCTTAGGGGATGTTGTCTTTTACAGTAATGCATGCAAACAAAGAGCACTCTTGAAACAGTAACTGCATCAGTCCTTAATCCAGCAGAGGAAGTGTTCTCCTTAGGAAGTCCCAGAAAGGTCTTGAAGACAAAAAAGAATAGAGAAAACTTCACATCCTGCTGAGGCATTAGAACTGTGCAATGGTTTGAATACATAATATGTGTTTTAAAAAAGAAACAAATAAAAATCCCAAACCCTAAACTTTCCATTTGATTGCATATGTATCTTGGTGATAAGGATGCTTTAGCAGAACTGGGAGAAAACGCTGCTGGAAGAATCTGCAGGATTTTACTTGAATAGGCACAGATCTGTCATATGTACATTCAGAAATGTAAATCCTACCTGGCTCCTTCTGAAATTGGATCTGGATTATGCTCTTCAGGGAGAGCCATAACCTCATGGGACAGCTTAGACTGCACTGAAGCTTTGCTGTGATTTTTATTGTACACTAAAATGATGTGGCCAAAAGATTATGGGAGATTAATCTGAAAAATGCCCACAAGCTGATGTGGAATCAAATTATGTATGCTGAAGCTGAAGAACAAATCTGTTGGCTAAAACTTGCTGATTTGCATGAAACATTGTAATTTCTAGGAAAATTTACAGAGCAATCTCTCTTTATTCTGTACTGCATAATAGCTTCTCATTTTTATTCAACTCTTGAAAATTTGGAACAAAAGGGATGTGCTGAAAAATAGTATGACAAGGCAAGTTCCCTTGACAGTGAAAGTAAGCATTGACTTGGTACACAGGGACAAATTATCTTTTAACTTATTTTTTCTTTTTTTCTTTTTGAGGGGAAGAAGATAAAGATCCCTATATAAATATTTATGTAGAACAGATAGTTAAAAGTGATATAGCTAAATTGTAAAAAATAAAATAAAAAACCCCCGAGCCATATGTGTTTTGTTTTTCTAAAAAAGAGAAATTTAAATACTTGAAGCATGGATAGGGCATTTAATCAAATAAGTCTAATTTCAGGAGATTTAAACGCTTTCTGCTCCTGATGAAACTCTGTAGAGCAGATAATCAGTTTGCATATCCCACTTGGAAAACTTTGATTAGAGTCATCAAATGAGGCAGACTATGGTATCCTTGCTCTGGGTGAGAAGTGCATTTTTTAATGAGTTCTTCATGATTTTGAGGACAGTTGTTGGATGAAGCTGTATTGCAAAAGTAATGCAGCCTATTTCAAAATAATAATTTATAGTTTGGTGCACAGAGAACATGAAGGAAATGAGAAAAAAAGAGGGAACAAAAGTTAATGCTGGAGAAAAACCATCAGGCTGAGCTAAGCTGGGAGATCAAGGAGAGAAGTGTGATGCAAGAGTTTCATCTCAGGATATTGCTGGTTACAATTACTTCATTGCTATTTAAATACAAAGCCAAGTCCCCATACATGGTTGAAATAAATGCAGAATTAAGTTGGAATGCTTTGTCTTCATAAGAAATCAAGGAATGGAAAACCAGGAGAGGTGTTACAAATCAGAGGTGATGGACTGGTTTCTGATCTGAAACCTGTACTACTTACTATACCTCTAGCTACTTGTTTTTAAGGTTGTTAATCTCATTTTTGTTTACCTTCCAGTCCATGTGACCATGAAGTAGGAATATAATTTCTCCCTTAATTCCTCATTGATTTAGGTTCCAAGTTTCTACTGATTTGTGTAAGAAGTAACAAAATCTTGCACACCTAATTAATCAGTAATAGAATCACAGAGTAATTTAGATTGGAAAAGACCTTTAAAACCATCAAGTCCAACTATAAACCTAACACTGTCAAGTCCAACACTAATTAGTACACATAAGAGGCAACAAACTGTACAGGATAGGTGAACATGAATATTAAACCATACATGCAGTAGCCACCCACTGAACAGGTAGTGGAAAGACTTGATTTCTTTCTTTGTTAATGTAATTGAAAATAATGTTGATGATGTCAACCATTTTATTAAGACACAAGTTAATGGAAATATTGTGAATGTAGTATTGTTAGGTGCATCTGAGTAGGAATAATCTCTGGTGATCTGAATTTAGCGGGATGAAGGTGTGAAGGTGGAGAAAGATAGTTAATACATTTTCAGAGGAAGGAAACAATCATACTGAGACCAGAGGATGAATCCATAGATCTGGTTTTGTTAGAGACATAGAAGAGAAATCCTCACTGGACCAGTCTGTTAGCTAATGAACCACTAAATAATCACTGAAGTGACCTTCATAACTGATGCTTATTTGTTGGTATTTTGTCAACAACCTCATGGAGGAGGCCAGTAGGTTTTGAAGACTAGCATAGTCCCACATGTGCACATCTCTGCGTGTTGGCTTAGGGAGGCAGGCAGAGTGTATGGGCCTGTTCTGACAGGGCTACAGCCAGAGCAGGTTTTAGCTCCTTAAGGACGGTGTGACTTTGCACTCTTGTTCACTTATAAATTATATTACAATTTGTTTTCACTGGAAGTGTGAAAACAGGGTATGTTCTTAGGAATGGCAATAGAGACTTAATAGAATGAACTACAGAGATTTTAAAAGAGGACAGAACTACTAAAAAGTAACTCCAAATTCCCAGATTTGTTATTGGTTTGGGTTTCCTATTGCAGATCTAGTATGAGTATCTAACATGTTTAACTGCAAGAGGATACTCCAATTGTGTGAGATTCTGAGCAGGGGTACTGGTTAATGCCGCTCCCAGAATTCCAGCCCACTGCTTAGGAGTTGAACCTTATTTCTTAATTTTCCACAACATACTTTGAAACCTCCAACAAAGCTGGTTTTCCTGGCATGCTGCTTGATTAAAATACAACAGCAGATATATAAAACATATCAATGTATGGCATGTGTAAAAAAATAAAAAGGGTAGTGTGTGTGTATAGATGTATATATATGTAAAATTTGTGACATAAGTAAAAGACAGGAGTCTGTAAACTGCAGTCCCATGTTCTGAGCATGCTGTCCATTTTGACCAAAACTTGATCTTTATTTCTTTAAGTGTAGCTTAATAAATCCACTTCACTAATATATGTACATTAATCTGATCAGGTATTTCCAGACCTCCTCTCTCCAGTGGGAGCTGAATGCAAACTGCAAACTAGGGCTTCCCTCTTCTTTTCAAGTCATGTAGTCACAGCACAGAGAACAGGACAATGTTGATGGTATTCCATAAAGAGCAAAATACACTGAAGTTCAGCTTTCTTTTTTTTTTTTACTTTATACCTTAACTACTAAGTAACAAGATGAGCGAAATGGTGCAGCTAGTGCTGATCAGCAAACGCTTCTTAAAGGTCAGGAAATGTCATCTCATTCTTCTCCACTGTCAGTCACAAAGGCTGGGTCGCTACTGTGTGTGTGTGAGAGAAAGATAGAGAGGCTTAGTTTGGGAGAAAGAAATTCTGAAGACTTTTATTTTCTCTTTGAGGAGATCTGTATCATCACCCATTCATGTGTTTCAGCCAATACTGCGGAAAGCTGGGTTGATTATAAATGTAAATTGTTGAAGGTCAAAGTCTTGATGTTCTAGGAAGCTCTTAGCAATTACTCGGCCATAAACCATCACAAAGGTCTCCGGTCAGGATTGCCTTTGTGAGTGTTACTGTACTGCAGTGCCATCAAACCCTCATTTAAATTCAGTCTTAAATGAAAAGAGAAAGAGTTTAATTATGGCATCTTAGTGCAGAGGGGCATTAATTAATTTTTAAGTGTGCTAGGTGTAATAGGATAATTGCAGGAGAGGGCTCTGCGGGGTCGGGCGTGATGGATACTTACTCTCAGGGAGTGTGGAGCAGCATTTGGGAGTGAGAGGACAGCAAAAAGCTGCTTTAGGAGTGATCAGTGCTCTTAGTGATTTTTGCCAGAGATGGACTAGAGCCAGACCCGGTGGCTGGATAAGCTGGTGCTGACAGCCCAAAGCAGCACACAATTGCTCCTCTTCGAAAGCCTCTTGCAAAGTATACATTGTTTTGCCTGTTGTTTACGTCTCATTGGTGTAATCTCTGACGCAGGTTCACAATTTTATCACACCCAGGAGTACAATTGTCAGAGGCAGTCAGTCAGACTTGCTGAAAAATAGAGGGGTTCAGACCAGCTCTTTCTTTGGCTGAGACCGCTGGCAGATGCTGAAGGGGAAAGGTTGTCCTGCTGATAGACACTATGGAATAATATTCCTAGAGGGGAAGTTGCCTTCTAATCCAGTGCAATTATTCTTTGGCTTACTCACTAAAAAATTTATTTATTTATTTATTTATTTATTTATTTATCTCTCATCTATATTTTAGCATGCCAAATATTACTCAAAGACTTCTGCTTTTCTGTGAAAATGGTGTCTTTGGGGAATCCTTTAAAGATATTTAGCCTTTATGGTATCTTCTGGCAGCATCTCCCACAAGATGATCTCATGGGAAACATTCCAACACTCCCATAGAATACATTGGTTTTTATTAGTTTATTTGTACATCCCTATGTTTATGTTTCCAGTGAGGTTAAAGGACTGATTTCATGGCATTTGCTGTTTTCACACATCTCTTGTCTATACACTCATTAATTATTATTTTAATATTTTAATGTCTCCAACTCTTTGTTACAGGCTTCTGTGCTCCTAAATATTTGTTCTTATGGGATGGATTCGCTTCTGACTGCATTTCTTTTGTGGATGGGAGTGCCATAGAGAAGGTCAGTTTCCTAAGGCAATTTCAGTAATGGTGAATGTGTTAATTACCATATGCTTTATCGTTGGCTTCCTTGTTTTCTTTTCGTTGCCATTGTTTGTTTTCATTACATTTTTACTGAGCTGTTGCAGTGACCTCCTGGCCATGTCCTTTAGAAACCCTATTTACATATCAGATCAGAAGGGAATGCTGGGTAAGGGAGATCCAACCATACAGTTGTGATTGGACTGCATATTTGTATAAAACAAATATTTAAGTACAGTTTGCAATTTCTGAGCTTTGCAGTAACACAGCTAATGTCAGATGCTTATTAAGTTGAAAATCCAGTTATTTAACCAGACTGCAATGAACTAGAAGAAGAGAAGAAGATACAGAAGAATATTCCATTTCAGGCTGGAACAGGACTTTGCAAAATCTGCAGCACCATGATACTAGTGGGGGTTTTAATTTTTCATTATTTTTTTTTCTTTTGCTGTTTGGTTCTTTGCTGCTTCTACTTATCAAAAGCAATGAGAAAAGAGTGTAAGAAGCTGAATTGTACTGCTAATTCTGTGGTTATTTCTGATTACATTGCTTTCCTGTCCTTTGATTTATGAGGAAGGGGAAGCATAAATGAATGACTAAAGGATTCAGCTGCATAACTCCCTTTAATTTCTGTGGCTGCTATCTTTTTGAACACTGCAACAGCCTTTAAACATCCCTACTGGTGCCCACAGTGTGCTGAATAAGATAGGAAATGTTGTCTGGTTCAGCTCTGAAGAGTCTGCAGTCTGAGACAGCAGCAGAGTGATACTGTGAGAAAAAAACTACTCTATAGATTTTTTAGATTAGTTTTCAATGATCAACAATGCTATTTACTCCCTTTATGTGGAACTTGTCAAAAGAGTGAGTTGTTGTGCATACAGTGGCATAGAGTGGGCATACAGTGGTTGAAGACTAGTGGGAAAGGGTCAGCTGCATGTGTGGGAGACAGAAAAAAAATCACTAGGAGATTGTGACCTTGTTGCTGATGTCATTATTCTGCTGCTGTCGCGTGGTGGCAATGCTGTGACCTCATGAAGCTGTAACTCAGTAGACTTGGGCTTCTGCTACATACTACCATGAATCTTAAAACCAATCATTTAATACTCCTGTCCCAGTCCTCTCTGGAGATATCTCTGGTTCCCTAACTCAGTGGTGAATTTGCTAAACTGCTGTGGAATGCTCAGGCAGTAAGCCAATCAGGGGTATATGAAGCAGCACAAGCAAGCGAGAAGAATTCTGGGAGATGTTAATGTGTTTTAGTCGTAGAACATGAGATTTTATTTGGGTGGAAGAACAGTCCCTTCTGCCTCTTCCAATAAGTAAGGGGAAAAGCACATAAAGAATATGGTAAAATAGCAGCAAATCCCTGTAGAAAAGGCAGATGGTGCTCACTGTGGAGTGGTGAATGACTCCCCTTGCTGATGCTGGGAAGCCGCAGCCCCACTCACCTGTATAGAGGACTCTCTCTTTGTCCTGTAGGGAAAGTCTTGGCTCATTTTGCATGCTGTTAGGCTAAACATGCATAAACATGGAGCTACACATCTACAACAGTTGAGTACTGGGCTCTCCCAGGATGCGTGAATGGAAAAGCTCTCAGGGATTCTTGGGTCCAGTCCATAAATGCTCTCAGAGGCCACATCACAGAAGGCTTTGAGAAAGGTCTTGTTTTCCAGCCAATGAAGATGCTTGCCCCTGTGACTCTCTCTGCAATGACTGTTGCAGAATTACAGCCTGCTGATGGAGCTATCTAGCATTTCAAGACCAACTTCAGGAAGCTTAACACTGCACTCTTATATTTAGATGGAGCACATCCCAGTTCAGGATGCTCTGTAAAGATCATGCTATTTCCAATTTAGTTTTTGAAGTATCTTTCTCTTTTTTCCTATCTTTTTCTCTGTATCTTGAAAATATTGTATTTAGTTTACCACTGCAGGCTGCTGCCTGCTTTCATTTTACCTTGCTTTGGCTCCTTCCCTTAGAGATGGTGAGAAGGAAGTACACATCGTATTTAGTCCTTGCCCATTAGTGTCATTTATTTACTTGCTGATGAATTACGCTGGCATTTACCCCTCGAGAAAACCTGCCCATGCTACCGCAAGGCAGACTATGGACATTACCTGCCTCGATGTGTCCACAGGCCCAATTGTCTGCATCTGGAGAAGGCAGAAATTAAATGAAATCACAAAAGAAAGCCAGGAGGAGAAAGTAGGAGAAGTAGATATATTTTTGTGCCATAATATTTCTGCATCTGTTTGCATGGCAGAGCACAAAAGGTGAAATTGTAAGAACTTCTTTTCTAAGACCCCTACCAGAGATTTTCACCCTTCATCCCATGTGCATCTTTTTCCCGGTTGTAGCAAGCAGAAAGAATGGATCAACAAGCCATGCTGTTTGATTTTTCACTATTTCTAGCAAGGCCATTCTTCATGGTTTCAGTGAATGTGAAGTGCAATGTAATATCTGTGGCCTTGTGGATTAACTCTCTTTCATCTGTGCTGTGTAATTTGACAGAGAAAAGGTGTATTTTTATAACTATTAGTTATACACCATGTCTAAGGAATTATAGTGTCAGAATCCATTAACCACTATGCAGAAAAGAATGGATATCATTGAGACCTCTTTTGAGTATTTTTTAACTATTTCCAGCTGGAACACTGGGGAAAGTACTATTTAACACGTATTTTCTTGCTAGGTATAGAAGCCATTTATAAATTGCCTTTAATTTCTGATCTTTGATAAACTACGGAAAGCTGTGTGCTGATTGCTGTCTGCAAAAGAAAAAGGTAGACCAAATTGCTTTTCTGTCATCAAGACTGGGCATCTCCTTTGTTTAGATCCACATCAGAGGGCACTGTTTGGACTCCCACATAGCTGGTGGTTTCTGCTTTTCTCCTGCACTCCAGTCCACAGGTTGCAGGAGGGGGTCAGAGGCAGAAGATGGCCTCATGACAGCAGCCCATTCACTCTAGTATGGCTAAGTCCCTGCATCAGTGTAACACTTAAATGTTTTAATATTAAACACCTAATCTTAATTTCTATTGCCTCTAAAAGGTACTGTTAACTTCTTACGTTCAACCTTAAATAACATCTGCTCTTTATGTCATTTCACACTACCCACAACTTATCTGGTAAGTTTGTAAGCTGTATCTGTGGGATAGACCCCACTGTGGGTTTTCAGGACAGGAGCGAAGTAATTGCAGAGCTTGCCTGAGTTTAGGCAAGAAAGTCAGGGCAAAGCTAGGACCTCCTGACCTGTGCTGTTGGTTCAGTGCTATTGCTTGTAATGTGAGCCATTTTTCCTTTGGTGAGCCTGAACTGAGTTAATGTTTATGTTTATTCTACTGTCGTACAACTAAATTCACTCATTTGACAACTTTCATTGTGCGCCAAGTTATTGTTGTATTTCAGCTTTTGAAATTTATCTGTTTCTGCTGTACATTTGATAACTGTATGGAAGACAGAGAGTCTTTGCATTTTCCTTTGGAAACAGTGGCTCAGTTTGCTGGAAGGAATATGCATCATGAAATCAGATGTTTCTAATTGCTTCTTGTTTCAGGAGTTGCTATTGAACACTGAAAATCATCCTTAATGCATGAGTAAGCCTGGTGAACAGATAGATTTAAAAAACATTGACTCAAAATAAATTTCTCTTGGAAGCAGAATAATTGTTGACTAATTCTCGTGGGAGAGATATGTGAATTTCTTGCAGACTTTTTTGAACAATAGGACTTGAAAGAGGCTCGGTGAAAAGAAACAAAAATGCCCTTAATCTTGTAGTATTAGTATTGTTGATTGCCTTTTGCAATTAGGGCATCTTCCTCATAGTAACAAAATTTCATACAGTCCTCAGGGAGAGAGGTATCTTCCAAAAAATGCCTGTAAGGGAAAAATAATTGTCTTGTCACCATCTGGAGCATATATAACCCATAATTCCTCAACTGACATCACAGTTCCTGAGGCGTTTTCTCTGGAAAGAAGAGGAAAACAAATGTTCTAAGGCAAAGGAATATTGAAATTAACCATTAGTCGGAACTAATATTTGTGGGTAAAGATTTATTGCTCATAAAGGTGAGGTTTTGCAAGGGGAAAACTGTTCTTTAATTACAGGTTGGAGTACAGCCTGTGTGCTTCTATCTCAGTGTCCCTTCTGAGATGTGGCAACAGGTAGCACCCAGCAGCTGAGGCAGCACCTCTTCCTGTGGCTGCTGGTTCCTGCCCAGCAGCTGGCAGAAAACACCCAAAAGTAAAAACCTGTGAAGGAGGGGGGGAGGGGGAGGGAATAGGGCTTGGGAAAAGGGGGCAGGTCAGAGGACTCAAAAGTATTGCAGTATTTGCATCCGGATTTGTAAGACTGTCAGTTAGAGCAGCATCCAGTAATTTTGGGTGCACTCAGTTTTAGTTGCTCGATCTGAAACGCTTTACTGGCACCCAGAAAAATGTGGACCCTCAAAATTATCGGATGTTCAAAAATTTTTGTCATCCCGGTTTTCGTAAAGTAACGAAGTCAGTGATTGTCTGTCAAGGAGAGCGTGGAGGCACTGGGAGCATGGAAAGCACGGGAGATTTGGTTGTGCGCAGCTGGGACAGCCTCACTGTGGGGGGAGCCTTTGCTGCAGGATGGCAGGGACTCACGCTGAGTTGGGGTCTGGGAACTTCTAGGCTGGAGCTATATAAGGCCAGAGTGGTTAATAACCAAGGTTAATAACCACACTCCCGGACTAGTAAGTGCACGTGTCACTCTGAGCTTCCTTTTAAATAGAAAATGAAAAATAGCTAATTAAATCCTGCTTCTAATGTTGTTTGAATTCTAAACCAAACTTATTTCTGATGGGTATTTTTCATTAATACTACATCACAAAATGCGATTTAAACAACCTTTATAGCCCAACCGATCCATTTTGCTTATTATCATAATGGGAACATACAGGCAGTATAAATATGTAAGTTAAAATTAACTTGTATTTTTCTCTACCCCCCCCC